CTGTTCGGGAGCGCGGCTCCCTGCCCAGCTCAGCAAAGAGAGAATATTTACTGACTAGTCCTTGTTACTTCTAGCAATAGAATAAGCACCACTTTCCTGATATAGAATGACACAGAGCAGCTTTGATCAGTACACAAAGTACTCCTGACCTGAGGCTGAAATAAAGAAGTGTGGCAGCAGGAGAAAAAATGAATCTCCTTCTAAGACTGAAGGTGCTGTAACGAGCTCATTAGACATTACATTCTGTAGCTGGAGCTTCAGCAGTTTCTCTTTAGCCAAGACATTGCTGCTTGAGCTATGGCTAAATCTGAAACACTAATATGAAGAACAAATGTCAAGAACTAGAGCAGAATAAAAGATAGCAAACAGACTCCCAAAGATGTTGTCTGGGAGATTTGCTACCCACCGTTCATAACCCACAAGAAAAATCACTTGAACAGCAAGCACTGGCAGCTCCACTACCCATAGTTTTTATACAAATCTTCTAAGGAATAATCCTGTGATTTATGAGGAAAAATGTGAGAAGAGAAGGGGCTTAAACTCACCAAAGAATGGCTCCTCCTGGCCAACAGCTTGACATCATCTAAATTAATTGTGCTTCGTTTTGCATGCCTGCATTCATTCAAAAAAGGGGAGAAATGTTACCAAGGTATTTGCTCACATCTGTCATAGGAGGCTTTAAAATTCCTTTTTTATTGCACAAAATGATCTGTATATCCAGGACATGCTACATATACCCCCTTTTATGGACACTTTGGCAGAGTGACCATTATACCATGTGCACAGGCCAACAGCTGATGGCCCCAAATTAGTCCTGGTGGCTTCCCAATGTCAGTTAGTCAATGAGACATCAAGCACCTTTTGGGGGCCTGGAGGACATCTGGTATGTCATACACCAGGCTGCTCTTGGGTTTATCCAGGCTTGTGCCCAAGATTTGTACACTAAGCACAAGACAGTTCAAAATATGACACAGACATGCCCCACTATCACACCCACTGCCATCCCCCCACAACCTCTCTTTTCTAATAACAACATACATGCACACACATTTATTTAGAAAAAGCAAAATAAACTATGGCCCGGACCCCAAGCAGCAGGAGGGAATAGGAGAGCAGGCCCAGGTGGGGTGGGCATGGGGCTCCATCCCCACCTGCTCTGCCCCGCCACCCCGCCATCATTCTTGACAGGCAATTGGCTAGTGTTTATGTTAGTGGCGCTTCATTTTAATCACAAAAAAACACTGATTTTGGAATTTTTATCAGAGGATTTGGTTTGTTTTTTTTTTAATCAGAGAATTTGGGGGG